CATGACATTTATTTTCCACATGATGGCGCAATAGAACAAATGGAGCCTCATGATGCATCGGCCCAGGACCGACCCAGTTGGATGGAAAGCCTCATTGCGTCATGAGGCTTCAGATTCCCATCACTAGGTGGTGGACCCCAAAAAGCAGGCAAGAGGGAGGAGCAGGTTGTACTTGAAAGCTTGTATTAAAACTCAAAACTAAATCCAAAACAAACAAGGTCCAAAGTATCAAACAAAACACATGACCGAAGATAAAAGATAACAATGACCAAAACCTGACTGAAACAAACATGACAGCAGCCAGCAAACAGCAACAAACAAACATGACAGTAGCAAAGAACAACAATGACCCGACACTGAGTGTTCGGGCTGGGAGTCCTTTTAAAACACTAATTACATAATGACCAACAGGTGTGCAGCTGCAAGGAGAGCCCTACAGTGCCACCTGTTGGTCCCAAACCGAATCATGACAGGGGGTGCATACTGTTATGGTTATGATTCTGTCTTGAATGTTTTCAACACGAATTCACATTCTCTCTCTCTTGTCTGAGTCAGGGAGGTGCCGGAAGGCTGCTCGAGAGCAGGGGCTCATAATCAACAATCAAACTCTCCTCCTTCATGGTCGCTAAAAGTCTCTGCTCTCCAATTGTTGTCGAGCCTCCTGCTTCCAATTAAGATTGTAGTGAATTTTCTCCCGAGCTTTATCGGCGACATCGAGCTTTTTCACGAAATCTGACACAAGTACAATGGTTCCTCTTTACTGTTTCCTACTGGGGACACCGTCAGCTTTCTATCCAACCAGTCCCATCGAAACGTGTTTTTCAGATCCGCATCTATCTGACGCACTTTAGCTTCGTCGCGAGTCTCGATAACATTCGGCATTCGCGAGAAAGGGGTTTAGGAAGGTGAACACGGATTGGTTGTGATTTGCATTTGCCGATATAGCGACTAATCACAACAAGTAAGACATCATACACGTCCAATCGCAGGACTGTTTACAATTGGAAGATGGAAAGACTGATCGGGAGAGCTCGTGAAAACTCGACGATAAGGTACCTGACCCCCCCTAAAATTTTCTCAACGGATTTAGACGATTCACAAAAATGATCAATTTAAGAAATAAAACGGCGGATTTCCGCGTATCCACGGAAAATTGCCATCCCTGATATTTCCATTAAAATATTGACACTTTGTTTGTTTGTATCGCAATACATGCAGGTATATTTCATTACAGTGAAGGATTCAATTTAAACCATGATATCAATGTTGTATCACACTGCTCAGCCCGATTCGAACCTTAAGATAATCAGGCCTGATTCTCTTTGCACGTGTACGAACCAGGCTTTTCAGAGTCAGACTTACCATAAGCAAACAGCCCAGGCAATTGGTAGACCTGCCTGCCAAATATGTTTCTGCCAAGTGTAGGAGGGAGTGGCTCGTGTCCAACCTATGAATAATAATAAGAAATATAAATCTGTTAAACCATCTGAACTTTGTTTGGACACATGTATCAGCAGCTGTCCCAAATTTTGGCTTCAATACATCACGTATTCATATTTACAGAGCCAATGTAATCGCCTGAGTAGGCTTTAATTTTGAAGCTTGACTTGTCTTTTTGACATAGCCGTTTGCACAGTCATAGTTATTAAGGCCATTACATAGTTCTTACCAACATCAAAACAAACAAATCCCCAAAATCATATTCACTCACTAATTTAGGACGCTAAGAAACCACTTCACAGTTACACCATCATCGTATGACAGAGCACAAATCTTTGGCGTGTGCGGCACAGGTGCATTCAATAACCTGGACAACAAATGCCGCCTTACTCACTGTCGCGAGAGTAAAGCCGCCGGTGGCCATCTTACATTGCCACTGTCGAAGCTGATCTAAGTTGAATCTAGATTTCTTTGTAGCGTGTTCACATTTTCTATCTCGACGTCAGTTCCTCTCAGTTCATGTTCCCAAATATTAACCATTTAAATTAAACCAACCCCACAAACCGTTGCCTTTGTTTTAAGTCATTTAAGACAGTTCAAGGCTATATCCTTAGTACCATAATGCTCCAATTTACTGATCAATATATGGTGATTTATGGTATCAAATGCTTTTTGTAAATCAACAAACAGTCCTATTGTGGATTTCGTTTCATCTATGAATCAATAATTCAATAAGATTTGCTTGACTGTCAGAGAGTGTGGGAGCTTTTGTTTTTCTATGAATTTTTCTTTTCTGTTATTGAAAGGTTTTACATTTAATTTGGGGGAATTGTGGTATAAGGTAGACAGGTATGTAGATTGTCAAGTCAACAGTTTTGTAAATCAAAATTATTTTTGCGGTTTGCATTTTTTTCAGGAATTGCCCAATTTGAAACGATTGAAAGTTAAGTGACGTTCGAAGTTGTCAATGTACATTAGTGGCTTAGAGATTCCCAGATTTATCTATTTTACCATTTTCATATCAATTTGATAACAATCAGAAGATAGTTCATCTTTGCAAATACTAACAATATTTACTGTATTAGATTTTCTTTGACAGCATGTGTGAAGAGAATTTGGACAGGAAGAAGAAAAAAAGTAGGGAAAAAGACGAAGCTAAAAATAATTTGGGTTGTGTTATTTGTGGAGTTATTTTGTATACACGTTTATATAAGGTTATTGTTTCGATGTGGGGAAAAATAACACTACATACAGGTAGTTTAGTTTCTTTTGAAATGTTATTGTTGCACAACTTGATCCAGTTTTCTGGTGGCTAGCTTCAGTGTACGAGACTTTGTTTCACGTAAAATACATTTTAGCTGCCTCCAATACATACCGGTACTCCAAGGCCATAGAGTATATAGCTTCTTCTTTAGACCATATCATCGCACAATGTTGTGGAAAAGTAACTATTTTGTAATCCTCTCACCACCACACTCACAACACGCCAACATCAATATAATAGTGTTAACAACTGCTCGCAATATAACACTACGCGAATGACTTATGGAACGGACATACTGAATGAAGGTGCATTGCGGTTCCAAGATTACTGTACATTCAAAATCGAATTGGTAAACCTACTTCACCTCCACCCGACTTCCCAGTCCCAACATAACAGAAGGTCAAAACGGACAATTCGCCAACTGTAAAAGATTAGTCGTGGTAGTGCAGACAACACTATTTGGAATGTTGTGTTAAATATGCTGTACACTTAATCATGTCAAAAATGTACATGGAATATAGCATTATATACTGTTGGTCCCTTAAGTGAAAGGGGTGATGATATATTTTTTTCATGTTTAAACAGTTCACTAATCTTAAAGTCAGCGGTTAGAGTTTAAACAAGCGAACTGAGAAATATGGATTATCCCTAATAGCATTTGGGCAAGTAAAGACATTCTAGCAGATGCCATCTGAACCAAATTAAACCCTCTTACCTGAACCAATACTTTGATGTACATCAAAGGATGAGACAGGACAGTGAGCCCGGATCCCAATATTACTTGGCCGCACGTGTCCGCCATTTTTAGTGCTATAGCTTCACCGGAAGGTATTCTTTGCACTTTCTTCAGACAGAATCCTCGATCACATTATTCCAAATATAAGTACTGCCATCTAGTGTTGAATTCCGTGATGGTAGACCTCAAAGAGCATTCGCGGCCTACCCAGTGTGCCCTAGACCTGGTCTGGTTGCGGGATAACAAAAATCAATATTTAATTTTATATATATCAGTGATAATTTTACAGTTTGAGCCCTGCGAGTCCCAGGGACTCGCTGATCAGAAAAGTATGAGTCCCATTGTGCATTTAGAGAGTCCCAAATTTCGAATTCTGAAATGGTCCACTTATTCAATTGCATATGATAATAACACAAACAACAGCAACATACATTGATAATATATATATATATTGCACTTAATTATTGACCTTATCCATGTTTGTATTTATATTGCACTTAATTGAACTGTGTTTTCTTTTCTCTTCTTTCTACCCACAATCTTGCTGCTGAAGGCTGTAAATTTCCCCAGTGTGGGACAAATAAATAAAGGATATCTAATCTAATCATACACACACACACACACACACACACACACACACACACACACACACACATATATACACTGCTGAGGTCATGGGTTTGATTTTTGTCTAGAGTTAGCATGTTCTCCCCGTACCGGAGTGGGTTTTTTCCAGGTACTCCAATTTCCTCCTAAACATCCATTCCAAAAACATGCACAGTAGGTTGATTGGTCACTCTAAATTGTCCATAGGTGTGAATGTAAATGGATGTAGACAAACAATGCAGGGCACTCATGTAGACTCTACATGAGTGCCCTGCGTTTCAGATAATGGATGCATGTAAACATGAAATGTTCTTTTTAGGAAGGCAAGAAACCAAGGCATTACAGCAATCAATTTAATTTGTGACAAAAGCACGTATTACCGTCGCTTTTTGGGGAAGAGAGAGAAAGGAGTGGACACTGGCTATGTTCAAGTGATAAAACATATATTTTTGTGAATTTCTTAATATGTGAAATAAAAGTGAGATCAAAGTCCAAAATAACACCTAGGGTTTTCACCTGAGGTGAAGGGTGTAAAGGATGTGTTCATATTATAGTTAAGTTTGTGTGAAGAAAAATAAAATCAGTAATGTGTGAGAGCATTTCAGTAGCGTGTACACATGTACGTATCGGGGAGGCAATCCTGAAATATATCAGCGATGACCACTCATGCTCTTGGAAAGGATTTTTTTTTTTTTTACATCTTGCTTTGCTGCTGTGTATCATATTCATTGGCTTAAAACACTTAAGTTGCCACCATATTTGTGCTGAACTCTAAAAGCCAAGGATTTATTGCACTTAAGATGTACATAGTTTAAAACCCAATCGCCAGAAAAAAAGGAAAAAAAAAGTAATGCTGGCACCACGAGATGTGAGGACAATAAACATGGTTTTAACTGCCATGCAATGCAACGTTTGTATTTGAATGAAATACAGTGATGGGAAAAAACTGATTCCTTTCCAGTTTTGATTACTTTAATAGCAAACAACAAAACTTCAATCATGGTTGACAGACGCTCAGTTTCAGGATGAAAAGTGCCTGACAGCAGATACAATTTCTGTCTTTTTTTTTTTTTTTTTTTTTTTACAATTCATGGTTGAATTATGTACACAAGCAAACCTTATTGTTAAACTAACATTTTATAAATAAAGACATCATTGATGGTTGACTACGGCTTGAATTGTAATGTTACCATCTTGCAAGCATGTCTCTGTTGACATCAAATGCATGCAGCCTCCACTATATCAGCTGTGAGATTTTGCTGACATGCTCTGAGTGCCTCAATCAACTCTCCCGTCCGAGCTTCGGCTCCTCGACTCTTCCTCCATTCCTTCAGTAGCTCTCTGACTGTCTCTTCCAGGTCTGTTGGAAACCTCATCGAGATAGATTTCAGCTTTGTTTCACTCAAACCAAGTTCGCGTCCTAATTTTCGCCAGGTCCCCCCCACGTTCTCGGCGATCACTTTGGTGGCAATTTCCAGCTTGGCTGAAAAACAAAGTAAGAAAAAAATCAGAGGGGAAATATATTATTTTTGTGTGAAATGTGATAGCAAGTTACATAGAAACTTAAAATACACACACACACACACACACACACACACACACACACACACACACACACACGCTCTTTTTTATGTCCGCCTCACAGACAAGCGCTTCCGGACAAAGGCTTTTGGCATACACACACACACACACACACACACACACACACACACACACACACACACACCTACTAGTTCTTTTTGATGTCCGCCTCCCTGGACAAAGGCTTTCGGCAAAAAAAAAGGCAAAATAAAAGATATGAGCTTTCGGGCTCACGCATGCACTATGGCAGCATAGAACGACACTGGAATGGACAAGGTTGTGTTTGGTGAAATGTCTTATTTCACGGATCTGTTCAGTGACGTCATTGATCACCACACAAATTATGACATCACAGTATATCAGAGATGCATCTTCCTCAGGCCTGAGGTAAGATGCCCCTTTACAGGACTTGATGTTTTGTTTTATGAAATCAAAGTAGTAGTCTTTTGTTATTTATTTACCCTCCACCTGTGTTTGGTTAGACATGCGGGGGCATCATAACCCAGTTTACCAATCAATAATAATAATAACAATGTAAATTAAGAAAAATGAAGTGGAGTGCAGTATCCAGTTATGGTTTTCAGTTAACCAATGCAGCTTGATAAACCAGCTGGATCAATTTTCAAAGTGAATTCGATGTTACTGCTGTTCGAGTGTCAAGAATAAGTGAACCATATTCAAGTCAAATGATCAAAAAGATTAACACCAATGCGCCCACATTAATAAATCATTTCAGAAATAGTAGTTTAAAGCTATTTGAAGAGCAGTAAAATAATGACAATTTCTGTACTTCCATAAATAATGGAGGAACTAAAAGGTAACCTGTTTCCGCGGCGTCAAATTTGACTTGGGGAAAGGTGCGGCACAGTCTACTTATCAGTCAAATGTAAAACTACTTATCTGTAAAATGAAACTACAGTATACCTCTCTCCGTTTCGCAAAGTTGAGTGCCAGCACATTCCGGTGGTGACTGAAAGCTGCTCAACTTTTCCTCCAGATCTTGTCGGTTTATTAGTGTGAGAAGCTCCGACAACAACTCTGTTTTATCTTGATTTAGCACTCCTCTCTCGGTCAGACACTGGAACAGTTTGATTCCGTTGTCGATCGTTTCCAACTCCCTTTTTCCAACTTTGTCGCCGCACAGATACTTGAGCCGGTCCAGCTGCTCCGTGGTAAGCTGGCTGGATATATCCAGTAAAAGTGCGTTAAAACGCAAAGAGGCCATAGCTTGGACACGGAGATTTCGTTGAAACTGTCGTCCCGAATCCAGTTTTACTTTCACTTCCGTGTATCTGTCCCTTACTGGTGAAATAGAAGAGCAGAGTCCATGGATCAATTATCAACCATAGTTGCTGATGATTTAAGTTTTAATTATTTAATTACTTTACAGTAAATGCTACACACGCGTACCAAAGTTGCAGTCATCGAACATGAACACCGATTTGTTCATGCCAACAAACCAACTCACACTCAAAAAGACGATGTATTTTCATTTATACTGGACATTACGGTAATACTCGCTCAACGGGCTGCCAGGACAACCGTCAAAATAAAAGCTAAGAAATAATACATGAATATCAATGCATACTGAATTATAATATCGATAAAATTGAATCCGAGTATGAATTACAAAAAAGTTTAGAAGTAATTGTTGGGGTACCGCAAGACCAGTCCATAGTTTTGGACGACACAAGTCCACGCCAAGACTCCACCAAAAGAGGTCTGATAAAATCTTAGTGTTGCATTTCAAAAATAAAAATAGTCTAAAATGTCCATATTTCACTGTCATCCATCCATTTTCTAATCCGCATATCCTTACGAGGTTCCCGGGACCCGGGTGTGGAGGAGCCTATCCCAGCTGTCTTCAGACAGTCGGCAGTGTACACCCTCAACTGGATGCCAGCCAATCGCAGGGCACACAAAGACAAACAACCATTCGCACTGAGAATCACACTAAGGGACAATTAAGAGTGTACCATTAACCAGAAGTCCCCAACCCCCAGGCCACGGACCGGTACCGGTCCGTAGGTCATTTGGTACCGGGTCGCACAGAAAGAAGACATAACTTACATTACTTCCGTTTTATTCATTTCGGAATCGAAAGATGTTTTATTTTGAAAAATTGCCGGATCTCTGTTTCATCTGTCTACAACAGGGGTGTCAAAGTCAAATGGACGGAGGGCCAGATAAAAAATTTTGCTGCAAGCCGAGGGCCGGACTGATTGAATGTTCATTGAAAATTTTAAAAATGACCACATATAGTTTATTGAACCAAATTTAATTGACTGAAAACCGAACAAATACATTCCAATATGGTCAGATAAATAAAGCAACATTTT